TTTGTTTTCTTGCTTTTGAACGCCTTTCTGATTGTAATCCTGATATAAAAAAATAGAATAGGTGTAAATTTTTCGGGTTAGATATAATTTTTTTCAGGCTAGATGTAAAAAAATCATGTTAGGCTATTTCCTAAAGGTCTTGGCAGAGTAAATTTTTTCGAAAAAGATTAGCATAGAGGCAAAGCCTTCTTACTTTGTGAGTCAAATCTTCTGTCTAGTAGCCATAGCCCTATCCCACCCTTGTTCAAAGAACTTTAGGGTAAATACTAACAAACCAGAATAGACTAACTGATTCCGGAATCTCTTCTGCAGACCTTGGACAAGAGAGGCCATAAATTCAAAAAAAAAGAAAACCTAATAGGATATGCTGTCAAGATAGGCTATCTCCTGCTAATTGATAGATCGAAAGAGGATAATTAATTATTATTTGAACAAAAGTTTTCGTACTATTAATACAAAGAACTAAATTAATTCACTTACTATCAAAAATGGTACTCCAATGTTCTCAATATAGAAAGAATAACTTTAAAAAGACTCATGATTTAACAAATCATCTTAATAGAAAATTTAAGTACAAGCAAACCCAAATACCCAACCTGGTTCATCCATCTAACTCTAATATATTCAGATCTCAATCGCCAGCATCTAATTCTCCATCTCCTGTAGTCTATGTTCATAAAAGAAAGGATCTAAAAGAGGCCAAATAATGTATTTATCTACAGAGGATTTGGCTAACTGGTTTGCGAATCCTAAGATAAAAAATAACCTAACCATTATTAATAAAAAGGTTCCAAAAACAGATATAGAATGGTTTGATTTAATGGAAGAGTCTTCTAGTAAATAGCAAAAGAAAACCAAAGTATCCCAACCAATAGAAGAAGATTCTAAAGCAAAATCTGGCCCAACTACTCAAGTATACAGAAAAAGGCAAAGAAAAACTAGGGGAAGAAAACCCCAACTCCTGAAATCATTGACCAAAAAGATGAGTCTGAAAAAGATCCAAAAGATTTGGATAAAAAAGTATCTTGGCCAGTTTTGTTTCCAGATAAAGAATAGTATCAGGAAGTATAGCAAAAGAGTATTCAGATAGCAAAAGACATGTTTAAAGTAGATGGTGCTGAATATGCTTTCTCAACCTGGTTTGCAGAAATAGAATTCAAAAAATATAAAGCTGAGATTACCGAAGAGTGAGCCCAAGAAATTTTAAATGCAATTGATAATGGCGAGTTCTTAATAAGGGTAAAATTTATTAAAAATGATTTTGTATATGAAGATGAATCTCAAACAAAGATCACTTTTAAAATTATTGATAAATATGAGCCTATTCACGAATCAAAAAAAGCAGGTGGAAAATGCATCAGGGTGGCCCCAATGTTATACTTACAAAGAAAATGAAACCAGAATTTTGGGTTGAAATAGACAAAAAATTTCTGGTCAGAGAAGTCAGTGGGCAATCTGAAGTAGAAAGACTTGATAGCAATGCAGTAGTTTATGGATTATATCAAATCCAAAAGCCAGATGTCAATC